TCTGGTGACACACCACGTGTTGTCATTCCAGATGATACTGATCTGCGTTTGCGGATCATGTTCGAGTATCACGATGCTCCTATAGGAGGACATCGTGGCCGAGAGAAAACATATCTCACGGTAAGTCGAGACTTTTACTGGCCCCGCCAGTATCAGTTTGTGCGAAAGTATGTTCGCGCATGCGAAGTCTGCCAACGAGTGAAGTCAAGTCCTTCAATGCGTGCACCTTTACAGCCTCTACCGGTTCCGGCTGAGTGCTGGTAATCCATCTCAATGGATTTCGTCTTCGGGTTACCCAAAGACGCACGCGGGAATACGGGTATTCTCGTATTTGTTGACAGATTCAGCAAAATGGTACACCTTGTGGCTGTAACAGAGACAATCACGGCAAGTGGCTGTGCTTGTGTCTTTATTGACACCATCTTCCGACTTCATGGGTTGCCCCGTGAACTCGTATCAGACAGAGATCCACGATTCACTGCTGATTTCTGGCGTTCCGTGTTCAAATCACTCGGAACGCGCTTGAAGATGTCAACATCTGATCATCCAGAGTCAGATGGTCAGACGGAACGTGCCAATCGTGTCCTTGAAGAGATACTTCGAGGATACGTACACTCCTTTAAGAGTTGGAGTGAGTTTTTGCCAATGGTAGAGTTTGCCATCAACAACTCGGTGCATGCGTCCACGACACATACACCGTTTTACGTGAATGGCTTGCGCCATCCGCGTGTACCCACCTTACTAGAGTGTAACTCTGGTTTAAGGGGGGAGGGACTCGCGCGAGCAAAAACCGATTTGGTTCACGCTCATCACGCTCTGACGAAGAAGTCATTGCGTTCGATGCCGATATCGATAACATCGATATCGAAGAAGATGATACCAGTGAGAGTGCGGAAGCCCTCACTGAAGAAGATGATTCCAGTGAGAGTGCGGAAGCCCTCACTGAAGAAAAGGTTGTTGTTGCTGCAGTGCGCTCACAGCACACTGAAGCTAACGAGTCATCAGATGAGTTCATACTGGCTCGTGAAACGGTAGTCCGTTTTGTGCAAGACTCCATCGCCGAAGCGGTGGATAAGCAAAAGCAAAACGCTGACAAGAATGGAAGGGCAAACACTCTTTTATTTAATAAAGGTGACTTAGTCCTACTGTCTACGGTTAATCTACCAAAGCATGTAGTGACTAACTTGGGTAGCAGTAAACTTCTACCCAAGTACATCGGCCCATTTCGTGTATTGCACCGCCTAGGCAATGCATACACGATCGAGTTACCACGTAAGATGCGAACGCATCCCACGTTTTACGTTGGTCGGCTTAAGCCGTACCATCAGTACGCTGCTTCTTCCGATGAAGAACGCCCTTGCGCTCAAGCATCTCGCAGAGAGCCTTGTGCTCCCGATGGTGGGCATCAACAAGGGTCTGAAGAGCAGCTATCTCATCCCGAGACCGATCAGCCATCCCACGAGCTACCCTTAGCTCGTCACGAAGAGATGTCAGAGATCTCTCGTTCTCAAGCTGAGCAAAGGCAAACTCAGCTCGGTGCTTCAAGGCAGTGTTCACCATCTGGAGACGCCTATTCCGCTCATGCTCGAGATCGTCGCGTAACCCTTGCGTTACGCGATCAAAGAAGCTCTCGGGAACACACCGATCCACATGATCGTGTGGAGAGCGTCTTTCCTCCTCCTCCACCTCCATTAGAGGACTCTCTCGGTGGCCAGCGCTATCTAGTTGAGCAGCTGTTGAACCACCGCGACGTGAACGGACGTCGGACGAGTTACCTCGTCCGGTGGCGCGGCTATCCCCCGTCCTGGGATTCTTGGGAGCCCCGCTCCCAATTGATGGTTGACGTACTGGGTCTGGTTGAGCAGTACGACGCGGCACATCCTGTGCCGCAGAAGGACCGCCGGAGAAAGTCTTCCCGGCACGGTCGTAAAGGGATTTCAGATTATCAATCCCTTCGTACATCTCAGTAAAGACACGTACGCGCCACCACGGACTGGTAAGGAGGTAAGCCTCCTTAGGTGCTCGTGCAGAGTTGTTTACACAACATGGGCACGGGTCTCCCCAAGAGAAGCAGGATAATCCTTTCTCCCTTGACAGACGATGCAGCTTGTAGCGTGCACCTGTCGGGGTTCGCTTTTCAAACTTATCACGAGCTTTGATAAGTTTGTCGTTCCAAGCGTCACGACCTACATCCTCGAGGTTATGGATGTAGGCGTTCCACGCCTGAAGTAGTGAGGGACCATCACGTTTGTGATTCCCACTGTACCATCGATGTCTGAAGAAAGCATCGATGAAGAATTCGTGTTCAGCGCGATAGTCTTTCGCGCTGGGGTCAAGGTGATGGATCCTTGACGAATCGAACAATCGTGTTCGATAACGATCACTCGTCATCGCCGACAAGTGATCCATGACGGATTTAGGAGGCATCCATGCCTTATTTTCTGGAGCGAGACGCAACACATTGCGGTCCCGCTCTTCCTGCGACGTGCCAACAGAAGTACTGGCACCTCGCTGTGAAGTGGTGTCCATTGGAGAACCGACACCACTATTAGCGCCCGAGTCTCGCGACCTCGAGCGCCTTCGCTTCGGCGATGGTTCATCTGATTCGTCAGATGAACCAAAGATGCTGCGACGCAAAGCATCGTCCATGCCACGCTTGGCAGGCGGCTTGGATTCAATTGCCGTCGATACGGATCCGTCATCCGTATCAGGAGAGTACGAGACACCGAGCTCGTACTCTGTGAAGACACGAGTGTCTTCATGACCAGCGCCTGCGTCACCAAGTGACACAGGCTGGGTCGCTTCAGCAACCGATGGGACATCAGTTGCTGTTGTTTCTGCTTCGGCGTCCGCACAGAGACGTGCAGACGCGCTCTCGGCGGCCTTGCTCGCGCATCGCATGGGCTTGTTAAAAATGCGATGAAATGTTGGAAAGTGGACGCGGACCAACAAGTGCAAACCCTGTCCCAAATGATTTGGGACGAGTATCCATTTAGTCAATCAGTCACTAAAGTGACTGATGGTTAAGGGGGGGGTGATGTAACGGGGTGAATCGTTACATAACAATTTATAAGAAATTGTTAATAGAATAAAACTATAAGAGTTATATTCTCAGAATATTGTCATAAGGACAAATATTCTGTAGCACTTACAAGTAGTTCCTAATTGGTTGATATAGGCCATTATATCAACCAACGAAGACGCGCCACGACAGACGCACGCAATGAGTGGTGAGCAGATAACTGATTTACACATTTGTATTTAGACATAGTTAGATGAAGATAAATAGTGATTATTGCAGACATTAACTATTATAAATACAGTTCTACTTTTTACTCTAACCAAGTACTCGCTTCTTCTTACCGTCTTCCTCTGCACGTACGAGTGTACGTGAAGTTACGAGGCACCGCCTTATTCTGTTATCAGAATAAGTAGCTTGTACTGTCACCAGTACAAGCTTCAGAGTGCCCCGTTACAGTTAACATGTTTTGCATCACCAAGCCCAGGGTCAAGAAAAGGTCGGTGGTGGGACTCAAAATGGTCTTGTGAGAGCGCGTGCCTCGCGTATTTTTTTATGTGCTCTTTTTTGGTACAGTGGTACATTCAGTATTGCGCACAACCGTCGAAATTGTCGTTTGTTCATGTGAACAATCGATCATTTCGGCGATAACATAGACTTCAAACATGACACAGTCATTCAAATTTGTGCATGCTTTCTCCCGATTGTAAAGCTACTTCAATTTTTATCGGATAATCATTTGTTGCATTTGTTACAAATTTAAACAGACGATGTAATGTGACATATGGATGAACATGCTCAAATGAAGATGAGCATATCGGGAGCATATCGGGAGCATACCGAAAAACGGCTTGATAGCAGACCGTATTCTATACTAGCATTTGTTAAAAAAAAGTCTTCACAGCTTTCGACGACGGTAGCTGTCTAGCACGATATGCCTAGACGCTCCCTATTCGCCCGCTACTGATCAGGCAACTTTTAGACGCCTCATCGTCAGTTTTGCGCAGCGATTTCGTCGCTACGAGGAGGTTGGTGAAACGCACACACGCCTGAAAGAACATAATACATAGCGTGGTCCCATCAATTGATGTCTTCGCAAATGTGCCATGCTGTACTCAGTCGCCGGACATAATTTTCGGCAATGGTTATGTCGCTTGAAAATATGTCATAATGACGCTCATCGGCTGAAAGATAGCGCTTTGGTGGCATTGGTGCTAGTTTCCCAGCTGCATCTCTTATTTAATACTTGATGTCTGAAACCGGACACCCTTAGCTTGGGTGCCACGAAACTTTGCGCACACTCGTGCGTGCAAAGGAACATGATTTACCCACACTGCTAGCTTGAGTAAAGGGGAAAAGAGAACTGTATTCAATATAGTTAAATTATCAATTTAACTTCAGTCTTTATCCAGCTATATTAATCTACATTGTCGTCTGACAACAACCTGCTCACCACTCATTAAGCTTGTCTAGAAGCGATTAGTGGTAACCTTGGTTGATATGTCTTTTATCAACCAATCTTCGAGTAGCACATGGATATCATACTAGGTGATAGTTTTCCTTCTGAATTACCTATCTCAGGTAATATTGGCAGAAGATTGTCACGCTGGAAAAACTTCTTATTGACACCATTTGGTGTCAATATCATGTAACAGGCTACCCCGTAACATTAATTTTGTGAAGACAGAGTGATCATCGTTGGACCACTCTGGGAAATGGAGAACCTGTAGGTCAAACCCAACTCGTTTGCCTATTTCATCGCACGGTTTTAAAATGTATGCAGTGCGTTGACGAAGCAGCCAAAGAGAGTACTCCTTAAGCCTCAGCAGCAGGTAACCGTTCACCTACTGTTGCAAGTAAGCAACAGGCAGTGCCTTTTGCGACTAGTCCACGTATTGAGTCACCACGTGCGACAAATGAAGCCGCTGCGTCTGCAGAAGTGCTACGAATATCAATGCGAATGAGCATGAAATGATCTCATCTATTCTGGCGAGTCGGATGATGCATCCAACTCGAAGGCGGCACCTCCTGCCTTTGGATCACCCAGTGTGGACGCTGCCTGACCCAGGTTGACTGGCTTGGGGAACGTGGCGGCATCATGTCCGAGATCTTCGGACCGAGGGATTCGACTGTCGAATCCTCGTCTCACGCGAGTCCACCGGCACTTGGACGCGTGGTGATGGTAGTTACACACCTGTGCGTCACCACGAGCGAAGCAACTCGAGAGACCGAGCTGCTACTGGTGTCAGTGCTTATGCTGACACCACGCAAAAGGCCAGGGACCGCAATGTCCTGCGCCATGCTCTCCTCGGATGCCAACATCCAAGGAGTTAGACCGAGTGGCCTGTATGACCACTGAACGGGATCGGATCTCGTGGTTCTTTTGTAGGAGGATCTGTCCTCCTAATATCAGCACAAAAACTATTCATGCTGAGGAATAAGTCTACACCTATGTGTTTTCAAACATCTGTGGTACAAAGGAAACCGCGGCCACGATGATAAGGCCTTGGTGCAAGGATGGAACGCCTTCATCCATAACACCGAGTGCGCTGGCCGTGAGGCCTGGCTCGGTAAATTGATGCAGATCGCATCAGGTTTGAACAGAGTAACCCAGTCGGTGTGCGGTACAGGTTGCACCGACTGTAAAGAGAGGCAGGTTTACCCTGTATCTCGTGGGGCGACCCATGTCCATGTTGCCTGGAAAATAATATTTGTGCCCCTGGAGAGACCTACCTCCCAAATGATCCCTACTGGAGGGCGCGCATCTCTTCTGAGATGGCCGAAGGGATTGACACTCTGCAATTTCTGTACTCGCATTCGATGAGGTCTTTTTTATCGACGGCCCTTCTTTGAACTCGGCGGGTGGGTCCTGTCGTATTGCTCGACGAGGCCTAGAACTTCAACAATCAGCTGGGCGCGATGCTCCCAGCAGTTCCAGGCCGGTGGATAGCCATGCCAGCTGACGAGGAAACTCGTCCGGACGCCCTTCACGTCGCGGTGGTTCACGATAAGCTCTACCAAAAAGCGTTGACCACCGAGGGAATGCACCAAAGGATGCGGTGGAGGCGGGACCACCTGATCCGGCTCGAGGGTCGGATCCGCTTGATGCTCAGGAACTGAACCGTGAAACGGATAAGCTATTCGATGACCTGGCTCATGAACGGACTCGGCGTTATGAGCTCCATGATCTCGTAAAGGATAATAACAATTCTTTAGCGCACGATCGTTCGAACGATAGTGGCGCATTTGAGTTTGCACAACTTGAGAACGAACGTTTGATTCGTTCTCTTCGTGACGAGCTGACTGCAACTCGTCAGGACATCGCTCAACTGCGTGAGCAGGTCGCTTCGCTAGTCGATCAGACTGGCTCGTTGAAACGGGACCACTCGAAGGTGGTCTCGGCCCTTGACCACGGAGGTGTTCTTCGCCTCTCGAAACGGGCTCGTACTGATGTTACGGGCGGAGACATCCAACGTAAAACGTAGGATGCGTACGCATCCAACCAGGCAGTTCAATCGTGTATAAGTTGCCCATTTGGCGCAACACACGAAATGGACCGATATACTCGGGCAGTAATTTGCTGCTTCCCACGTTTGTCCCTGCGTGCTTTAGTAGATTTAATGTAGACAGTAAAACTAAGTCTCCTTCATTAAATGAAAGAACATTTACTCCTCCATTTTTATCTGTGCTTCATTTCTATTCATCCATTGCATCTAAAAAAAAGTATTGAATGAAGCGGACGACCGCTTCGCTAGTCAGCAGAAATTCCTCTGGTTAATCGTCCTTGTTAGCAGCAGAAGGATTCGTGTGCTGCTGAAAGAGTGGTGTCTTCACTAGTGAGAGCGTCATCATCCTCAATGTGGCAGTAGTTGGCGATGCTGAATATGCGAGCATCGTCGTCGTCATCATCATCGATGTCGATGTGATCGACACCGGCATCCATTACGTCGACACCATTGTCGACGTGTGATGAGCAAGAACCAGATCGGTTTTCGTTCGAGCGAGTCCACCCCCCCCAAACTAAAGTCACACTCTAAGAAGGCGGGTAAACGAGGATGGCGTAGGCCATTCACAAATAACGGTGTATGCGTTATCGACACATGCACCAAGTTGTTGATGGCGAATTCCGCCATCGGCAAGAATATACTCCAACTTGTTAGCGAGTGGACGTAACCTCGAAGTATCTCTTCGAGAACGCGGTTGACGCGTTCCGTCTGACCATCTGCTTCTGGATGATCATAAGTCGACATCTTCAACCGTGTTCCAAGTAAACAGCACACGGATTGCTAGAACTCCGCTGTGAAGCGATGGTCTCTGTCCGGCACGAGTTCACAGGTGAACTCGTGAAGGCGGAAGATAGTATCGATGAAGACACGCGCACATCCCTGGGCTGTGATTGACTCCTGTACAGCAACAAGATGTACCATCTTGCTGAACCGATCAACAAACACAAGAATACCAGTTTTTTTGGTGAGCGTCTTTGGGAAATCCAAAGACGAAGTCTATCGATACGGACTGCCAGTACTCTGCCAAAATTGCTAGAAGCTGCAAGGGTGCACGGTATGAAGGACTGGGCTTCACCTGCTGGCAAACTTCGCAAGCGCGAATGTATTTGCGCACAAACTCATTCTGGCGAGGCCAGTAGAAGTCACGACTTACCGCAAGGTAAGTCCTTTCTCTACCGCGATGCCCACTTGATGTAGCATCGTGACGCTCGTACATGATGCGCAATCGCAAATTATCCTGAGCGGGAACGATGAAACGAGGCGTGTCGTGTTGACTGCTGTATAGCACAGCAGTCCATCACGAACCGAATACCGTTAGGTTGAAGAGCGTTATTGAAACGAAAAGCTTTTCAAAGCTTGACTGCATGGATTAGACACGTAATCCATCAATCGAAAAAGAGACTCATCTTCTGCATATGCTTTCCGCACGTCGTCGAGCAGATTCGACGACGGAACACTTACTGATAGTTTTGCAACGGTGGGATCGCCCCTACTGTTGGGTTGAGCAGTCGGCTCGAAATCGGGCCGAAGCGAAAGGGCATCAGCGACGACATCAAGTCTTCATAGTTCATACACAAAGGAGAAGTTGTACTCCGCGAAGAAAGACATCCACGTCGCCATTCGCTGCGAGAGGTGTGGAATGTTTACGGACGTGCGTAATGTCACATGGTCAAACAAAACGATGAAGGGCCTATCTCCTAAAGATATACCCGAAACTTAGCCCGTGCATATTTCATGGCAAGGAGTTCCTATCATGCACTGGGTAACTAACGATAATCGGCTTGCAGCCAACGCGATTGGTAACAGACAACGCGCTCAACGCCGTCTGAGTCGTACTGCATTAACGCGCAGCAGATCGCGAAATCGCTGGCGTCACAGACCACATGGAATGGTCTGTCCTGGTCTGCCATCGCCAACACAGGCGATTGATTAAATCTTTTCTTGATACCTTCAAAGAAGTGCTGACACTTAGCACTCCATGACCACCTCTCGTTTTTATTTTACAAATGAGAGATTTGCGGTCATCTCGGCGTAGTTGTGCGAGCGTTTGTGCAAATACGCCGCTAAGCCAAATAACTTTCGATGTCCCTTGATGTCGACTGACACAAGCCAGTATCTAATAGCCTTAATCTTTTCTGGATCAGGACGTACGCCATTTTTACCCACGATGCAGCCAAGAAGTGATATTTCGCTCACTTCGAAAACACACTTTTGAGGTTTGCAAACAACTTATAATCCCGCGTAAGCTTAAGAAACTTCCGGACGTGAGTTCTATGAACCTCCACGTCTGTCTTTTCATCCATAGCCCGACTATGGACGAATACATCGTTGAAGTAACTCGGTGCAAAGTCTCTCACCGATCGCAACAAATTCGTAAAGCATCTGTTGAACGTTGCAGGGGCGTTACTTATCCCCTGTGGCATCACTAGCAACTCCCAGAGAATACCACTGGGGGTTCCTACTGCTGTGCACGAAATATCCCGTTAACGCGTGAGGATCTGACAGAATCAATCCATCAGATCCATAAACAAAAAGATGGTACTTTTTGCCATCCCATCTATGATTACTTCCTTCCTCGGTATCGGCGTCTGAGTCGGTACCGATGCAGCATTCAAATTGTAAACGCGTGGACTATCCAAGATCCACCTGTTGATTTTCGCACACAAAAGGTTAGAGAACTGTGAGGATGTTGATTTCCCATATGAACCGCCGCAAAGCGATCGGCAAAGAATTTGTCGACCGCTGTGACCTGTTCACGAGGCAGTGGCCACTGCTTCATGACACAGTACATCGAACCGGGTTTCAGTTCGATCTCGAGCCGAGTGCCTTTGTCCTTGGGCAGCTTGCATGGCACGGATTCAGGGAAAACATCCCCGAATTCGACCAAATCCTCATACAAAGGCTTTGTCTTCAAAGGCCTTCAAGATTGAGACGTGTATCGCTCAATCCGGGTCTTCTCATCTAGAACACTCTCGTCCATTGATGAGCTACTGAGAACCCGTTCAATCTCAGTAAGCACCTGTGCCGACCGAATATCGATGATGTCCTCGTCCTCTGTGACGAGCACGCAGATCTGCTTGATCTAGTCACTACGCAGATCTCGCAAGAATCTTTTAGATTCTAGCGTTGGCAACTTGATTGCCTCCAAAGATGACTTTGGAGGTGTAACCAGATCAAGTGTATAAGTGCCTACACTTGATCCGTCATTCACCAAGACATTCAGTGTCTCGATGATTTCCTGGGAAAACACATCTGCAGGTGGTTGCAGAATATACGCCCTCAACATAACTCTCTCGGGAGTTTTCACTCTCAGGAACGCTGGAACTGATTTCTAATACGTGTTCTGACTGTGGGTGTACTACCACAGTCATGTCCTTTTCGATTGACTCTCTTTCAGTCGATCGGGATTGCTCTACGATCGACTCTCTGTTAGTCGACCTCGCTTCAACGTGTTGTTTGTCCTGAACAACACTAATCTCTCTTCTTGGATGCATCCTTCTTGGTGTGCATCCGTGTTCCAGTCCACTCGATCTCTTCGAGTGGTGAACCTTCGGCGCAGCCTGTGTCTCTACACAGTGCCTGAGGCTGGTTCCACAGTGTAGTGGCCTTCTACACTGTGATTTTGTGCGATCGTACTAACGACCGTATCACAAGTGAGGCCATACCACTCACTCGTAGTACATCCACAAGCTTGTGGACGCTCCAAGACCGTACTAACGACCGTATCACAAGTGAGGCCATACCACTCACTCGTAGTACATCCACAAGCTTGTGGACGTTCATCAGATGACCATATGATGAACAAACGGCAGGTATTTTCACGGATCGATGCTGCCAGCCGATCCATGGCTCGTATTTTCTGAGCCATGGCAGACCGAGGATGACATCAAATTTGTCCTCCAAATCCAGTTCGATGAAGTCATCACCGTACTGCTTTCCTTCTAGCGTGTAATGGATTCCCACTACACGTTTGTTCACCTTTACGGATGCGCCTGTAGCAAGGCACACCGTCATCCTCTTTGGAGGGAACTATTGCTCAACATAGTTGAGTCTTCTATCCTCTAGCGACTGTCGTCGAATAAAACTGTTCGATGCTACACAGTCAACTAGGGCGCCAAGTGAAATCCCACTTGTCACTTCGATCTTCAAAGCGATGAGAGACACCTCATCTAGGGTCAGTAACACACAGTGACTGTGTGTTGGGAGCATTTTTCGTCAAGAGTCCTGCAAATGATCTTGGCGTTGCTGGATCAGCAGGGTGCTCCGCCCCTACTGACCCTGTCCTTTTTTTGGCGGTACTACTTGCTGTCGCGGTTTAGCGACATGGTTGGACCCGCGCCTTGGACCTTACTTTGGCCGATGGCGGTCATCACGTCCTGTTTTTGGACGTGATGTGGTGCTTGGGACACTACACTCATTAGCGTACTGTCCGATTTCTGACAGCGATGGCATCTTGCCGATCGCTTGTGGCTCGGAGAGCGAGATTTCTCGCTCTCGATATAACAGATGTCGATCGGTTCTGGACGTCCTGTTTCCTGTCGTCTCGTCGGACAATAGTTTGACGAGTTAGCCTGAGACTGTCTCAGGCTGAAGTCTTCTTCTTCCCCATACGCTATCGCCTTCTTCAGCGTATGGAAGTCCTCTCGGAACAAGTAGGTCTACACCGGTCCATCTAAAATACTTTAGATGAGCACGTTGATGAGCGTGTGCTCATCAACAGGGTATTCCGTGACGCTACTT